GGGGGTCGGCACAGTCTGTGGACTCAGGTTGTGGACAGCGTCCAGGATCCAAGACCTCTGCCCTCCAACTACAGACCAAGAGGAAGACAAAACACCCAGGAGGAAGAATCCAGGCCTCGCTGACCATCAGACCAAAGACAATTCACAGACAGAGTTGCCTGAGCAAGGACAAGATGCATCTGACCACCCTGGTCGGCACAGGGTGCATCTGACAGCCCCGACCAGCACAGGGCGCGTCCATCCGCAGAGGACAGAGTCCAGCTGGGGCACTCGCTCAAGAGACGGGCAGGCCAACGGTGCAGACCCAGACCCACCAGCCGTCCCGGGTTCGGAGCCTGTGTAATTCAGGGGAGGGAGAGGCATCCAGCTGAAAAAAATGCATCTTGATCCCTGCCTCACGCCTCATCCCAGCTGGAGGCAGCCATTCATGGCAAAGGCAGAACAACACTTGTAGAGAACATTTTTGTTATCTAGGAGCAGCAAAGGTTCTTAAACAGGACCCAAAGGCCTAACCACAAAACACCAATAATTTGGATTATGTTAAAATTAAGAACTTCTGGCTGGGTGCAGTGGCTCACACCTGTAATCCTAGCACTTTGGGAGGCCAAGGTGGGTGGATCACCTGAGGTCAGGAGTTTAAGACCAGCCTGACCAACATGGTGAAACCGCATCTCTACTAAAAATACAAAAATTAGTCAGGCGCGGTGGCATGCACCTGTAGTGTCAGCTACTCAGGAGGCTGAGACAGGAGAATTGCTTGAACCTGAGAGGTGGAGGTTGTGGTGAGCTGAGATAGCACCAATGCACTCCAGCCTGAGCAACAGAGTGAGACTCCATCTCAAAAGAAAAAAAAAATGGAAAACTCAAAAACTAACAGAAAATAACATCATTACTGAACTAATCAATAAGTTAGAAACAGCTAGAACGGTTTACTGAAATCAAAATTACCAACAAATAGGAAAGGCTTGAGATAATCACAAAATTCAGGCCACATACTGTGGCTCACACCTGTAATCTCAGCACTTTGGAAGGCTGAGGTGGGTGGATCACCTGAGGTTAGGAGTTTGAGACCAGCCTGGCCAACATGGTGAAACCCTGTCTCTACTAAAAATACAAAAACAAAATAGCCAGGTGTGGTAGTGGGCACCTATAATCCCAGCTACTTGGGAGGTTGAGGCAGGAGATTTGTTTGAACCTGAGAGGCGGAGGCTGCAGTGACCTGAGATCATACCACTACCTACACTCCAGCCTGTGCAACAAAACAAGACTCAGTCTAAGAAAAAAAAAAAAGAAAAAAAATACACACACACACACCGGGAAACTCAAAGAATAAACAGCATACCAGAAGTTTAACACAAAATATTCAACTCTGAGACATAGTCTGGCTAAGCAGATAAACTATGAGAAAAAGAAAGAATTCCTCATAAATTCATGAAGGGAAGGCCAATCCTCCAAATGGGGAAAAATCAGCCAACCTCAGCCTTCACCACAACAACATGCAAGCCAGGCACAGTGGAATAATTGTTACAAAGTGCTGGAAAAGAAAATAAATGTAAGAGTATTATACCCAGCCAAGATATCTTCATATGGTCCAAAGATGACCACGGGGAGACATTCTCGGACACAAAACACTCAGGAAATACTCAAGTCCTTCTGAAAATACAACTGACAATGAAATCTAGCTAATTAAGAGGGACAGAAATGGTAAAAGGACTTTGGTGAGCACTGACTACATTTAAATGTTAAACTGATACTAAATTCTTGGGGGTACTATAGTCACAATGCAGAAGCAAGGGCTATAAACCTGGGCAATATAAAAATATCGGCCTGGGCTACAACTCAGGAGGAGGTGGGTGGTGGGGCAATGGAGTGTGCAGCTATAAGTGCTCTCACTTTTCTTTCTTTCTTTCTCTTCTCTCTTCTCTTCTCCTCTTTTTTCTTTTCTTTTCTTTGAGATGATAGTCTTGCTCTGCTGTCTACGCTGGAGTGCAGTGCAGTGATCTCAGCTCAATGCAACCTCCACCTCCTGAGTTCAAGCAATTCTCCTGCCTTAGCCTCCGGAGTAGCTAGGACTACAGGCACGCACCACCACGCCCAGCTAATTTTTGTATTTTTAGTAGAGATGGGGTTTCACCATGTTGGCCAGAATGGTCTCAATCTCTTGACCTCATGATCTGCCCACTTGGCCTCCCAAAGTGGTGGGATTATAGGCGTGAGCCACCGTGCCCAATCGTCCTCACCTTTCAATAACAGAAGCACCTATACTGTTTCTCAATGTGACATGTCATTAAAAAATAAAAAATTAAAAAAAAAAAAAAACCAGCATGGCCAGGCGCTGTGGCTCAGGCCTGTAATCTCAGCCCTTGGGGAGGCCAAGACAGGAGGATGGCTTGAAACCAGGTGGTTCAAGGCCGCAGTGACCTGCAACCCCACCACTGCACTGCGGCCTGGGTGGCAGAGAAGACCGTGCCTCTAAAAAAATTAAAAATAAAACATCATGATCCCAACTTCTGACTATTTTTCAGACTCTTTACTTTTTTTTCTTTTTCTTTTTTTTTTTTGAGGTGGAGTCTAGCCCGGGCTGGAATGCAATGGTGTGATCTTGGCTCACCGCAACCACTGCCTCTTGGGTTCAAGCAATTCTCCTGCCTCAGTCTCCCGAGTAGCTGGGACTATAGGCGCACGCCACCATACCCGGCTAATTTTTTCCATCTTTAGTAGAGATGGGGTTTCACTAAGTTGGCCAAGCTGGCCTCGAACTCCTGACCTCATAATCTGCCTGCCTCAGCCTCCCAAAGTGCTGGGATTACAGGCATGAGCCACCATGCCCAGCCAAATTATCTTTTCTCAACCTTAAAACAAATATTTGGTAAAGAAAAACCCTGAGAGGGTACACCTGTGATACCAGTTTTTTCTACAGCAGCTCAGGCCCAGTGACAACAAAGCCCTTGGTGGGAGGTGTCTTTTTAGCCTGAACCCTCCCTCTGCATCAAGGGAAAGCCTTAGAAGAAATCATCAGTCCACTGTTTTTGATCGTCCTCGATTCAGCACACAACAACCCAAAGTCACGCAGCAGAAGCAGCCCTAAGCCTCGGTTCAAACCAGCCAGGAATTCCACAAACGTTCTGTGCGTGGCCCCCCTCACACATGCCCATGGCACTCACCTGCTATAACTCAACATCGTTCGCAGTTGGCGCCCCCAAAACACACACAGCTCTTAAAGCGCCACACCCATCTGGGCGACCACGCTGCTGAGCGCTTCATCCCTGTAGCTGTGGTAGGGTTCATCCCTCCCTGTGCCCAGACCCGAGGGCACCAAGCGGACAAAGCCCTGTCCTCCAGGCGCTTCATCTCCAGGGCAGCGCTGGCCCTGGGACTTTGCCACGGCGATGTCTGAGCTATCCAGGAACGTGGCTAACGGAAACTTTTTGTTTTGTTTTCTTCTAATTACTTTACTCTTGCACAGCCACACGTGGCTCACGGCAGGCTACTGGACACCACGGCCCTAGAGGCCTGCCACTGAGCCGCGGGTTAGAACAGGCGAGAGCAGCAGCGCACCGCTGAGCCTAGGTTCAGCAGCAGAGACCAGACTCCCCCCGACCCCACGGAGCACACTCTGCACCCACCGCACCCACCGGCTGCCAGAGACTCCCCGGTGTGCTGTAGCTTAAGGAGGCCTCTGGGTACTGGTCGCGAGCCCAAGCCCATCGGAGCTGCTCCCCCACACTCCACGCCCACTCCTCACCCCCACCCCCTCCCCTAAGCTGGGGTGCCAGAGCACCTGAGTCCGACCCCGCGCTCCACAGCTCAGGCCGCCCCTCCGGCCACGCCGCACTCCCCGGGCCCCCACGCAGCCTGCCTGGAGCTGCCCTTTGGGGGCGGCCTGCACCCCCCCCTCGCAGTCTCAGATCCCGCTTCTCCGACCCTCTCCTTTGTCTCTGGTAGGACCCTGACCCCGGGGCTTCCCCGCTCCCACCGACTCCAACGCCACGCCCTGGCTGCCCTCCTCCGCCCAGGACCCAGAGAAGCGCGGCCGCCAGGTGGGCCCAGGCGGGGCCCTTTCCGCAGCCGTAGGGTCGGCCCCATCTGGGCGGTTCGGGGAGCCGGGTGGGTGACGGCCCCGCGCCTGGCCGAGGTGAGGTGTCCGCCTCGGCGCGTTCCGGGCTTCTCCGCGGTTCCTGCCCCGCTCGCCAGCTGCCGGCTTTCAAGTCTCAAACTCCAGGGATCCCGGGCGGCCCTGCTGGGAGCTCCGGGTGCGGCGGCCTCCCCTCGCCCTGGAGACCCCTGTCCTGCCGCCGCCGTGGGCGGTCCCCTGTTCCGCGCACGAGTCACCTGCGCTCCTTCCTCGCGGGCCTGTCCGCCCGGGCGAAGCCCCGGACACGCGGGACCCCTGGGTTCGGGACCCGCCCTGGTCTCCCCGTCCTCCCTCCCCTCTGACCGACGCTCAGACCAGCACCTGGGCGCCCGGAGCTTGCATCCCGCCCACCCCGCCGCCCCGCGGCACGAACGCGCGCAGTGTGGACCCCAGTCCTCCCCAGTCCCCGCGGTGGCGGCCGCAGGTCAGGAGGAGCCCAGCGCCCGGTCCAGCCCCCGGCCCGGGCTGCGCGCAGACTGCGGAGAAAGATGGAGACGGCGCCGCACGGGCCTCGAGCGAAACCGGAGTGCACAGGGAAGCCGCCGCTCGAGGGCCGGGGCCGGGCGGAGCAAGGCCCACCCGCGAACCCCGCTCCTCCCCGACCCGCGCCCCCGGACCCGGACCCGGACCCCCGCCCCTCCCCGACCCGCGCCCCCGGACCCGGACCCGGACCCCCGCCCCTCCCCGACCCGCGCCCCCGGACCCGGACCCGGACCCCCGCCCCTCCCCTCCCCCACCCGCGCCCCCGGACCCGGACCCCCGCCCCTCCCCCACCCGCGCCCCCGGACCCGGACCCCCGCCCCTCCCCGACCCGCGCCCCCGGACCCGGACCTCCGCCCCTCCCCGGCCCCGCGCCCGCGCTCACCCGCCGGGTGGCCGTACGGGGACTCGGCCGCGCCGTCCTGCAGGCTCGCCAGGATCTCGCCCTTGCCCACGTCGCTGTCGCCCACCAGCAGGAACTTGAGCAGGAAGTCGTAGGCCCGCACCGGGCTGCCCAGGGCGCTCATCGTGCCGGCCCGGCGCCCCCGCCCATGCCCGGCCTGCGGGGCTGCGCGCAGAGGCGGCGGCCGAGCCCCGAGAGGCGCCGCGCGAGCCCCGAGTCCCCGCTCGCCGCCGGCCCCGCCCCGCCGCCCTGCCCTGACAGCGCGCGGCCCCGCCCGGCCCCGCCATTGGTGGACCGCAGTTGCTAGGGAGGACGCGCGTTTTCATTGGTGAGGCTGTCCGTCCATCTTACGCCCGTCACCGCCTCCGGGCGGACGCCCACCCGCCCCTTCGGAGAGGACGCTGTGGCCGCAGCCAATGGTGGCCCGGAGACGGGGTAGGGGCGGAGCCATAGCCGACAGGGGGCGGGGACTCTGCGCCCGCAGCGAATGGCGAGGCGGGGGCGAGCAGGGGGCGGGGCCGGGTGTTTACACTCTCGCATGCGCCGGTCCGCTCCGTGAACTCGCTCCCAGGGGCGTCGGGTCTGTGCGCTGCGAGCCGGGCGGGACCGGGCGGCGGGCGGTGCACGGTTCTGGCTTTGGGGCCTCCCCACGCATCCCCCAGGGAGAAGAAACCTCGGGTGCCGCGCCGCTGGGGCTCAAGGGGTCGGTCCAGTTTGCGGACGCGGCCCGAAGGCCCCCGCAGGCCGCCCTGGTGTCCAGGCTCGCGGCCTCTTACCACGGCTCATCCATGCCTCGTCCTTGCTCCATTTACGCGGCGTGCCTGAATGCCTGTGTGTGCACACGCGCCTGTGCACGTGTGCATGTGTTCGTGTGTGTGCATGTGTCTGTGCAGGTGTCTCTGCAGGTGTCTGTACGTGTCTGTGTCTGTGTGTGTACGTGTGTCTGCAGGTGTCTGCCCGTGTCTGTCTGTGTGTGTACGTGTGTCTGCAGGTGTCTGCACGTGTCCGTATGTGTACGTATGTCTGCAGGTGTATGCACGTGTCTGTGTGTACGTGTGTCTGCAGGTGTCTGCACGTGTATGTGTCTGTGTGTACGTGTGTCTGCAGGTGTCTGCACATGTATATCAATGTGTATACTTGTGTCTGCAGGTGCCTGCACACGTATGTGTGTGTATGTGTGTCTGCAGGTGCCTGCACGTGTCAGTGTGTGTATGTGTGTCTGCAGGTGCCTGCACATGTATGTGTCAGTCTGTGTACGTGTGTCTGCAGGTGCCTGCACATGTATGTGTCAGTGTGTGTACGTGTGTCTGCAGGTGCCTGCACATGTATGTGTCAGTGTGTGTATGTGTGTCTGAAGGTGTCTGCACGTGTCTGTGTCTGTGTGTACGTGTGTCTGCAGGTGTCTGCACGTGTGTCTGTGTGCATGTGTGCTTTTGCAGGCATCTTTGCATGTCTGTGTCTGCACATGCTGCTTCTGTCTATGCATGCGCTGCTATGTACGCATGCACTTGCTTGTTTGTGCATTTATGCGTGTGTTTGCGCGGGTGCTGGAGGAAAGGATTGGGTGGGACCCTCCAGCCTCTGGGCTTCTCTTCTGGAGAGCAAGGGGTGCCAGGCCAAGACCTGTCTTCTGTACTGAGGGTCTCACCAGGTGCACGTTGAGGCGAGCTCCACCCACAAGGAAGGATGGTGCCCCCTCCACCCTGCGTTGTGTAGGGAACTGCTCTAGACTCCATTGGAAGTTTGTTGGCGGGGGACTGTGTGGGGGAGAGTAGAGGGAGTGGAAGAAGAATTTCAAAAGAGACTGAAGTCAAGGTTATTATATTTGTCATTTACGTTCATTTGGGCCTAGAACATGCTTACTTTGGAATGTCAATTTAGTTCGCAACACCTGTTGTTCATGGATTGATTAGTTGCTTTAGTTACCAACGCAGCCACTATTTTTTTTTTAAAGACAGAGTTTCGCTTTTGTTGCCCAGGCTGGAGTGCAATGGCACAATCTCGGCTCACTGCAGCCTCCAACTCCCATGTTCAAGCAATTATCCTACCTCAGCCTCCCAAGTAGCTGGGATTACAGGCATGTGCCACCATGCCCGGCTAATTTTTGTATTTTTAGTAGAGATATGGTTTCAGCACATTGGCCAGGCTGGTATTGAATTTCTGACCTCAAGTGATCTGCCCACCTCAGCCTCCCAAAGTGCTAGGATTACAGCACTATTTTTTTTTTTTAAAGGAAGGTCAGAGAAAGAGGATGGAAGGGGGACACTAGAAAACTATGACAGAGATGTCAGTTAGTCCCACCCTGACCGCACTGCCAAAAGCTGGAGGAATTCAGGGGAGTTTCCCTCCCATCCCTAATTCTCAGTCTCCATGTTCCAATCAGCTGTGGGTCATGTGCTGTTACCTAGTGAGGAAAGGGTACCGTCGTCTGCCTGCTTCCCCACCACACGTGCAGACTCACTGTGGGGTAGGGTCAGGAAGCCCTCAGCCCACCCTCGGGTCACACCCACCCGTCCAGCAGTGTTCTCAGTGGGGCACAGAGCGGGGTGGCCAGATCACTTCCTGCAGAGGACAGATGCTGGGGGAGCCCCTGCCTGCTTGTCTCCTGCCCCACCTCCTGGTTGTCACCTCCTCGGTGGCCTTAGCTGAGCTGGAACATGGCAACTCCCACTTGGAGAACCAGGTAAAATAACCACGTCTGAAGCAGGCTGTGTTCAGATATGGCTGTCCATCTTCTTGCCCCAAACATTGATTTCACCAAACGGAGATGTTCACTTCTCAAGCCAAAGCAGAAAGGCTTCCCCCTCCCCCGCCAGGGTCCCCAGCTTCCTGAGGGGCAGTCCTGTGGTGGGACACCTCTCCCTCCTCCCCAGTTTCAGCACATGTGTAAAGTCCAGGCAGAAGGTGGAGGTGTCTGGACGGCACTTGCCCACCTTCTGCCCGACTCAGAGCCAGGCTTGCAGACCTGTCTGTCATGGATCACGGCGGCATTCCTCCCTGTGACCAGGCTTCCTGTGGCCAGGCTGAAATCTCCTTGAACGCCCACCTGCCCGTGACCTGCGGCTGCTCTGGAGACCAGGCCTCAGCTGGCAAGAAGGAGTCTCGCTCTGTCACCCAGGCTGGAGTGCAATGGCGCAATCTCGGCTCACTGCAACCTCCATCTCTTGAGTTCAAGCAATTCTCCTGCCTCAGCTTCCCAAGTAGCTGGTACTACAGGCGCGGGCCATCATGCCCGGCTAATTTTTTGTAATTACTTTTAGTACAGACAGGGTTTCACCATGTTGGTCAGATTGGTCTCAAACTCCTGACCTCAAGTGATCCACCTGCCTTGGCCTCCTAGAATGCTGGGATTACAGGTGCGAGCCTACTTTTTTTGTGGCTGAATAATATTATTGTATAGAAGTGTCACATCGTGCCCATCCATTCATTCCTGATGGACACTGTTGCTTCCCCTCTTGGGGAGGAGGAACGCCGGCCACCTCCAGTCAATACACGAGGACTTTTTTTACATCATGTGAAATTTTTATGCCATCAGACTATTGGAAAGCATTTCTTTCTTAAGTTTCATTCTCTGATGCCTAGATAAAAATAGACTGAGGAACTGTGAAAAGACACTGACCACATTTCCCTCAAAGCCAGGCACTTGAGCATCGCAATTAACTTTTCTTTTTTTTTCTCTCCTCTGCTGTCAAGAAGTAAATAGAAACTAACAGCTGAGCAGTTTGGTTGTATGTTTGATGATGACTCACCAAGCATTCACAGCCAGGGGGCCAGTTGTTCTTCTGCTATAGAAAGAAAATCTATTTTGGCCGGGTGCAGTGGCTCACGCCTGTAATCCCAGCACTGTGGGAGGCGGGGGTGGGTGTATCACGAGGTCAGCAGTTCAAGACTCAGCCTGTCCAAGATGGTGAAACCCTGTCTCCACTAAAAATGCAAAATTTAGCTGGGCGTGGTGGCGCGCACCTGTAGTCCCAGCTACTCGGGAGGCGGGAGAATCACTTGAACCCAGGGAGAGCTGAGATCGTGCCACTGCACTCCAGCCTGGACGGCAGAGTGAGACTCCGTCCAAAAAACAAAGAAACCAAAAAGAAAAATCTAACTGTGACCCATGGATGCCCCAAATGTACCAGAGCCTTGAAGACAAAATCAACATTCACGCAGGGTTCCTGCCGCTGCCCGTCCACCGCCCCACCCACTGCCCCGCCCACCTCCCCACGCCCCGCCCACCACCCCGCCCACAGCAGCCCCGCCCCGCCCCTTACCCACCCAGCCCACTGCCCCTATATCCCGCCTCCCTGCCACCCTGCCCGCACGCACTGCCCCCTGCTCCACCCACAACTCCACCCACTCTCCCGGTGCTCCACCGCCTGCCTCCTGTCTCCGTGCCCCGCCCATACTCCACCCACCCTGCTCGTGCCCCGCCCCCTGTACCCCCCGCCGCACCCACTGCCCCCATGCCCACTCTTGCCCCCCGTGTTCCAACCCTGTCCCCTGCCCCCGTGCCCGCCCCCTGCTCCACTCAGCCCACCCCTGCCCTCCTGCCCTGCTCTCCCTGTCCCTCTCTGCACATTCCACCTGCATCTGCTCATCCCCATCCTCAGCGGCCGGAGCTGCAGCTGCTGGACAGGTAGGGGAGGTCTGGGTGGACCTAGCTGAGCCCGCGGGAGGTGTGAGAGAGCGAGGAGACCCCTGGGGTGTGTGTTGTTCACAGACCCCAGGGCGACGAGGCTTCCACAGCCCAGGAAGGTGAGTCCTGCATGGCCAGAGGAGCTGATGGTGGGGGCCGGTGCAGACAGGGCTTCACACGAGGCTGGGCACAGCTCCCCTTGGCCTGCACGTGAGGAGGGCAGCGCCGATTCCCGGCAGGCTGTGGCTCAGGCCTGCCCAGCTCCACGTGGCTGCTGTCTGTCCTGGACCCCCGGCGTCCACACTGCAGGCCAGGTGTTCTCCCGACTCCAAGACTTGGACCCCCGGCGTCCACACCGCAGGCCAGGTGTTCTCCCGACTCCAAGGCTTGGACCCCCGGCGTCCACACCGCAGGCCAGGTGTTCTCCCGACTCCAAGGCTTGGAACTCAGGCGTCCACACCGCAGGCCAGGTGTTCTCCAGCCTCCAAGGCTTGGACCCCCGGCGTCCACACCGCAGGCCAGGTGTCCTCCCGACTCCAAGGCTTGGAACTCAGGCGTCCACACCGCAGGCCAGGTGTTCTCCCGACTCCAAGGCCTGGACCCCCGGCGTCCACACC